TATTTTATTTGTGGATGTTTGTGTTAAATCGTTTAAATGTGCTCATATATGCTTCGATATATGTATAACTGTACATGGAAATCTTTGACAATTCTGATTTGCTACACATTCAAAATTAAATTGATGTTTTCTACAATTGGTGCGTTAAAAGTCTGTTGGACATTAATGTTAAAAAATGTAATATTATATCTTATTCCAGAAAACACACTACTCTAGATTTTACATGTACTCTAGGAAACCAGCTGGTTGTAAGGTGCGATAAAATTAGGGACTTAGGAGTAATTCTTGACTCGAAGTTGGCATTTGTAGATCATGTGAATACCACAATTCACAAAGCAAATATTATGTTGGGATTCATAAAAAGATTTAGTTATCATTTTAAAGACCCATATACCATCAAAACACTTACGTGAGATCAATTCTCGAATATTGCAGTGTGATTTGGGCTCCATATCATGAAACTTATATAAATCGTATAGAATCAGTTCAAAAACAGTTTTTGTTATTTGCTCTTAGGAAACTAGGCTGGACCTCTTTTCCCCTTCCTTCTTATGAGTCCCGTTGCATGTTGATAAACATTGAAACACTTAAGAAACGAAGAGAAATTTCCATGATTTCCTTTGCTAATGATATTATCTCACAACGCGTAAATTCAGAAAAAATATTTGCAAGCTTAAATTTGTACGTTCCATCACGCATGTTAAGAACTCGAAATGTGTTTCAACTGGCACCTCACAGAACGAATTATGGTAAAAATGGACCAATCAATAGAATGATGAGAGTGTATAATAATTATTGTGAGCGTATAGATCTAACGATGTCTAAAGATACAGTAAGGAGAACACTAACTGCTAGGCTTTCATCTCGTTAAGTTTAAACAATTTTTATTTCTTAGATATTTGTATATGTAATTTACATTTATTGACAATTTCAAATCAAACGTTTGAATTTAAATAGCATGTAAGGCAACAGAACTATTGTAAAACGGTCTACACTGATTGACGACAAATAAATAAAAAAAACCGCGTTGAATTTGGTATTAGCGAAGTAGAAAGATAAACTGGAGCGTTAAGCTACGATTGTTGCTGTTTTTCGGGATCTAAAACGCGCTTTTGAAACAATAGGTCGTATGAATAAAAGCGTTTACTTTACTTTTCCGGTAATAAAAGCACGGGAAAGTAAAGTACACTCTTTTTATTCATACGGCCCAATGTAAACTTACATTCTTACATATTGTAAATTATTCTACGCTTTCTTAATTTGTTTGAATTGAAGATCGCGAATTACTAAGTACCAGCATTAAAAAAAGTCCAATATCTCTAAAATGTATACCAGAATCTTGCAACTTTTTTGGAGATTTTAGGAAAAAATTTCCTCGTTCCAGAATAAGAATAATTTTTCTTAGACTACGATCCAGAATAGTTGTCTATGTTCCAGCGATATGAAAACTTGTCTATGGTTGAAGTTTTTCAGAAGTTTCTATATTCGAGATCTTTAAAATTGCTTGTCTTCAAATTGAAAAATTTGTCCAAGGCTTCGACCATTTTCTCTGCGCCTCAATTTTTTTCAATTTCAAGATTTCCTAGTAAATTTCTATGTTCATTCTTTCATATCCCGAAATTCAACCAATTTTCGATCTGAATCTAAATTCAACTTATTCAACGGTTGGTTTCCAAAAAAAACGTGGCAGAAAAATGAGTACTGTGTGACGAAATGGAGGTTAGAAATTAAACTACTGATTATCCAATAAATACTGATTTTACAAAAACAAATTTATAAGATCCTTCAACCATTTATTTTATTTAAAAGAAAACTTGTAAAATGCTCTGGTGGTTTGGGAATTTATAATATTTCTCAAAGCGGATCGCATTCAACGACAGATTGGATATCAGATTGGATCCATATCTTTATTATCTTTCCGATCAATAAATGCCACTATTGATCACTTTTTATTGTTTTAATGTCACTATTTGGTCACTTTTTTCGTTATGTAGTTGTATAAAATACCCACTACCTGCCCTGCATGTTGTAGAGGAATTCTGCTGGCAAAATTTTATCATTATCTCTAAAAGATTATTTTTGAACGCCTTTTTTTGATTAAAATGTAGATTTTTTTTTAACCGGGAAAAACGAGAATTGAAAAATTGAATTTGAATGGACACACTGCATCTGTTAAATTTCATAGTTATTCATACAGTAGTTCCAGTCATGTCCTCGAAACAAGAAATTGTCCGTGAAAAAATGTTGTACCCTTCAATCAAAATCCAGAGGCGTCCCATCCCCCATGGATCGCTAAAAAGCTTGGAATTCCAAATACAACTGTGCCTCGTGTGATAAGAACCTTCACGGAGTGTCTAAGTGCCCGAAGGAAGCAAGGGAGTGGTCGTAAAAGTGGTCCAATGGACAGTAAAATGTCCAGGATTGTTGTGCAACACTTCAAGAACCGTCCAAACATGTCAATTAGAGATGTCACTAAAAAGTCCAAGGTGTCAGTCGGTTTTATGCAGAAAACTAGAGTCGGTGTATAATGAGTCACGCCAAGAGTGAAGCCAAGTTTACCTATTAACTGTCAAACTGGCTACCTATCATGCAAAATAAATAAACATTACAATGCTATGAAAGCTACACGAAAGGTATTGCAATAAAATATAAAATTTAATCGAAGAAATGACCATAAACACGCAGTAATGATCAGTAATGAGAGTTTGTAATATATGTTGCTGATTTAATCCGACAAAATCACTAATGTAATAATTTACTGCAGCCGGTTATTTAATTTCTCGCTAGAAGTCCTTTGAAGTTGATGCAGAAGTCCTCTGTTGCCAAGTGAAAGGGAAGGGAATCTTTCGAAAACCGTGATGCGAGTTCCACTGTTTTTTTTCAAGGCGTGTCTCAGTATACACCGACTCTACAGAAAACCATGAAGCGTGCTGGGTTACGTGTTTACAAGGTGCAAAAAGCCCCAAACTGGAATGAAAAGCAAAACATCACTGCGAAAACCCGCGTCCGGAAACAACGAAGTTGCTCACCAAATCGTGTTGCATCGTGATAGTTGGTGAAATTTACGTCAAGGCCAACTTCCGTCAACTTCCTGGGCAAGAATATGTCGTTGCCAAGTCTAAGTTTGATGTTCCGGAGGATGTTCGAAAGAAGAAATTATCGAAATTTGCAAAGAAGTTCCTGATCTGGCAGGCAATTTGCGAATGTGATGAAATTAGCGCTCCCTTCATCACTACCGGAACAATCAACGGTGCGATTTACACGGAAGAGTACCCTAAGAAGCACAAGCGAAGTGACAGACGGAGCGGCTCGAAAACTTTGGTGACTAACCTGCTATTGCAATTTTTCAGTGTACCACATGGCAACACCACTACTACTGGATTGTACCACATGGCAACACTACTACTAGATTGAACTAGCATTTTCACCAAATGTACTAGAATGTTTTGGTTCTATCTCTTTCACTCTACTCAAAACTGAAATGCATAAAAAAATGACAAAATGATACGCACTCTTTGCACACTGTCAAAGAATCATTGTACACAAAATCAACTTTGTTCAAATCAAAACAAAAAAACTAACCCATCTGGTGGATGATGGCACAAGCTTCCAAGAAAATTCTATTACAGTGAACCACATTATTTAAATGGATTTCTTCGCAAGTTAGTCGTCTATCACTTCGTTTGTGCTAAGAAGCGTCTCTTGTCATTAATAAGGAAGCACAAAGGATCAACTCTGTTTTGGCCTGATCTAGCATCTTGCCACTATCGCTCGAAACGTATTGGAGTGGTATCGAGCCAACGCAGTCAATTTTGTGCCAAAAAATATGAACACACCAAATTCACCGGAACTTCGCCCAGTTGAAAAATTCTGTGCAATTATGAAGACTTCGCAAACAACCTAAAATTTTCCACAGGCCAACATCTAGGCTCGTGGCTTTTGGTGCGATAATAACTCTATGAATGTTTCAGCTGTTTTTGACGTTACAAAGCCTGGTGCGTAGAGGTGTCATTTTTCATGTATTTTATGCAAATTCCCCATACAAAATTCAAACTAAAAGCGCCAGCTCATCCTACAAATGAGCTAAGACTTTCAGTAAATGGCTTTCTAACCTAAAGGCACAAATCTAGATATTGGCCCGTTGAAATTAGAACTTTTATTATTGTGGGCCACTCCACTATACACCTATAGGATATAAACATTAAAAATGTATCACGCTTGTTCCTCTAGTCAGCCCACGGGTATCTCCGCTGAATGATAACATTGGCGAATTATAAATCTCATTTTTTTTCTCTGTAAAAAAATGTGATTCATATTTCGAACAAGACAGTTTTATTTATTATTTAATAATTTCATAATATAAAACGACATTAAACATGAATTCGAATATAACGTATAACGTATAACAATTATTGATCAGCTAAAAGCAATTATGGATCAGTCAGTCTAGCATTTTAATCAAATGGAAGTGATCCGTAATTGTGGAGTAAGTATATAATAAACGAATAAAATGAGATTATACAATCATTGCTATCGTACGTAGTTTAAAAATCCATATACAAAATTTCGTGTCCGAAATTTGAATCTTTTCTGTCCGAAATTTTAATCTCCTCAAAGACAAGTGTCCGAAGTTTGAATCTTGGTAGCCTTAGTAAAATAACACTTTTTTTCCGAAAAGTTCTGATATTTACTTTAAAATATCATCTCAGATTGCTCAATTTAAGAATACTTCACAATGTATCGAAGAAACAAAACTAAATAATGTGTTACCATAAATTATATGTCCGTTTTATGCATCACATGCCTTAAGTGTTCGAAATATGAAACAGAACGGTATACAATGCAAGTCTTCGTTCTGAGAAAAAGCCCATTAAATGATTCCCCATGAGAAATGAATTCATGTGATTAACATATCTTAAGTCAATAATCTAATTAACATGAGCAGAATATATCGAAGTTGTATCGATTTTCCCTCTAATTGAATTAACTGTCATCACCAGGAAATCATCGCGTCAAGCACAATACAACGCAGAAGAAAAACGGCCGTTCGACCACCTCTGTCTGGCTGCAGTCAGACGTGTAATGCAGTTCGGTCCGTGCAGAACGTGCCTTAAAACGCGGTGCTAATCAATATCGGAGTGACCATGATGGAAGGAATTCAAAGTGGTGTAGTCAAGTGCGGTGGGTATCGGTACGACGACGGGACGCGCTACATCGGAGACTGGAACCAACGTGGTCAGAAACATGGCATGGGCTCGATGATGTTCTCCGATGGAACGCGCTACGACGGAGCCTTCAGCAACGGTGTCTGTTCAGGATTGGGAGTGATGGTAAGAATCTAACGAAAAAGTTTATAATTAGTATCATAAGCCGTCAAATTTTCGATTTATGGCCCGGAGGGTCAAGTGTCATATAACCCTATTGATTTTGTCCCAATCGGACATTTGGATACGGGAGATATGACCAAAACATTGAAATTCATTCCGAACTGAAAGCGTGCCTTGGAAGCCATGGGCAAAAATGGCCATCGAATTTCACATGTGCACCACATTCAAAAGTTTATTTCCTCGAAAGAAGACCATGTGCAAAATTTGGGATCAATTGCAAAACAATCAAAGTTTGATTTTCTGATGGTGACCGGCAAATCTCAATTAGAATTTTGGAAATTTTCCCGTTTAAATTAAGCATAAGAACAAATGCGATTGAGCTGAAGAAATCACTAGGTTAAATGGGACATTATGCGTTCGAAGTCGTCTAAATTTTTCTATGAAAATTCGATCAAAACTTTACATGATTTTATTTGATTATTCTCAAGCATTTCCTTTAAAATCATTTCCCTTGACAGAGTTCATTTAAGACTTCTTCTAAAGTAAATTTGACATTCTCTCTAAGAATCCTTTTTAAATGTCTTCCAGAATTCTCTCATGGTGACCAGTGAATACCAAATGCCGAATCAGTTTCCCGTTTTTTCCACGGAATTTTGGAAATTTTCTCTGTGGTTCGATATATGTATCTTTCATTGGATATTTCAAAGCGATAACTTCATTGAACATCCAATGATATTTAAAGAATTTCACCATTGGCATTTATGTGAAGTGCTGCTTCAGTGTAGGCATTACTGATAAACTGAAAAAAGAAAATCAAGGAAATGTTGACGGTTTATACTGAATGTTTGTTTATCCTTAATGTAGCTTGTCACATTTGTTTAATATCTACCTATTTCTTGTTTTTTTTTTACAGTGTTTTCCCGATGGTGCCAAGTAAGCTTATTTTTGCAAATATAAATCGACCGAGAAATCGACGGTTTTTGACTCCTTTTAAGCATAATAATAACCACAGACAAACAGACATAACACAAGGAATATTTATCACTGGAAAACACCATCGCTAAACCAGTATCGCCATCTGTTGAGTGCACTGTCATGGGTAACACGCTCAATAGATGGCAGTAGTGCTTAAACGCCAAACGCCAAGGCAGATACCTATGAACGCCACAGGTGGCTATGCTACCTACTAAAGAAACTTTAAATTAACCGTCAATTGCTTATTCAATGAAAAGTAGAAATACTCAGAGGGAGAATTGGGCAGAGAAAACAGAATACAATTCGGCAGCAGGGATTTGTACCTAAATAATTTTGCAATCCTGGCTAGCTTCTGCATTTCACATGACTGTTACTTTTGATTCGATTTACGTGCAAAATAATGATTGATTACATCGCAATATTTTGCACATTTCTTTGTGCCATTAATTAACCAACTAAGATCAATTAATCAATAGAGTTAGAATATTGTTTTTTATTCAAAAATATAGTTGAATTTGAGAAACACACGAAACATAAAGGTGATTGAATTTCTGTTCGATTGCAATACTCTCAAATTTAATCTAGTAAGAATAAGAAATCCTCGGTTTTCCTAATGGGAATGTTCGATTGGCTCATATTTTGACAGTTCATTTGGGTCAAAACATTCCTTCCGCTTATCTCTCCCGCTGAGTATTTCTAATGAAAAGTATGCGAGTGTTATGTCTGTTTGTATTCTTCACTGCATACACACTAAGATTATTTTATCGAAATCTGTGAAATTTTATCGAAATCTCAACAGCTGAACGTTCGGTAAACAGTCCGGTGATTTTTCATAGACTTTTTTTTACCGAACGTTCACACTTAATCTAGTTCGGTAAAATCTCCAACAGCCGATTACTTCGGCATTTACTGTTGCTGATATCTCTGCAAAATATCTGTTGGTTAGCTGATATCTCAGGAAAATGTTATTTGTTAGCTGAGTCTCAGTATAAGAGATGAACTAGCCTTCGGTTAAAAATATCTATAACAAAGATTAAATAAAAAACTGAGTCTCGGCAATTGTTTGACTGAATTTCAGCAAAATAAATTGCAGAATTACTCGGCGGTTGGAATCTCGGCGAAAAATTTTAAGTTTGTTCAGCTCAAAGGGTACGTCACTCAGCACATTGTGCAGAAATTAGATTCGGCACAGCTTGGGCACATCCATCGGCACACCTTCGACACACCTTTGGCACACATTCGGCAAAATCTCGTAGGCGTTGGATTGTTGTAAATAAAATGGGAGCACTGCTGGACAACTGTCATTGAAGTTGTCACAACATTACGTGATGTTTGACTGTATTTTTAGGAACATCCTCTAATTGAGTATACCAGAGGAACTCCTCAGACCAGCAGTTTACTTATAGATCTAAATGTGAAATGTAGGTTCTAGAGTGGGCTCAAGAGAAAGAGGTAGTTAGTACCCTTAATTCAAATAATGCTGCAACTCACACAAAACAAACTAAAGAAGTCCATTCATCATCCTCTATAATCGGTCTCCATCAACAATTCTCCCCATCGGTTCCAACTCTTTCTGGCCGCTGATAGACCGATGCTTTTCACATCACGAAAAGCTAGGTTTCTTGTTTGCCTTTGAGGGTAGGACACAGGACTTTTATTACCCTTTCGAACACAAAACACCAAAATTTCGCACACCCGCCACTTCCCGCGTCATCCTCAATCCGATTTACCCTTGCGATTTCAAACCAAAACATTCAAGGTGTCAGAAATACCGGGTTGCCGGGATGGGTATTTTACAAACAATCGCGGCTTGCTCTATGACCGGCAGAATCTGAACACCTACGGCACATTTGAGGCACACTGACAAAAAATGACCAAAGATTGGTGTGCGGAGTGCCAATAAAGCTAATAAACTATAGAGGAAGAATAGCACTGTCGTCGCTGTCGAAACATCTTTTCCTTACATTCAATAGGGACACAACTGTCAAAGCGAGAAAAAACTATGCAGTTTGACAGTTGACAGTGACCCGGTATTATTCAACATCGGAAAAAAGGGAACACCAGCGCTATTCTTCCTCTATAGTATATTAGCTCTATTGGAGTGACCGACCCCTTGGTTCAGCTGTTGAGATTTCGGTAAAATTTCACAGATTTCGGTAGAATTTCACAGATTTCGGTAGAATTTCACAGATTTGGGAAAAATAATCTTAATGTGTACAGCGTAAATATTTACGTTTTGTTTTTAACAATACTCAGGTAATCATGACAGATTCTGACGCAGTATACTATAGGTCTCTTTTTTTTCATTCGCGTTGTTATCAAAGATAAAAATGTCATCATTAGCTGAGATTTGTCAATGATATAAATATCATGCATTGAAGAATGTCTGATAACCATTATTTTTTCAATCTTTCCGTTCCAAAAAAAAAATAAAACAAATTTTAGATGTAACCTCTCAGAATTCCATGAAACTTCGCATAATTGTTCAACCAAGTTTAGGTTGGAATTCGACCATTTTGATGGCTGTTTCGATATTTCCTAATAACTCATTGCTTTTTTAGAAAAAAATACACACGAATAAAAAAAACATTTAAAAAGAACTTAAAAACTTAAATAACAAAAAAGTACATTTTTAAGATTTATAAACTTATTTTTATTCGCTAGCCCATGTAAATTTTCTTTAATAGATGCAACGGATACTTCAAAATTGACCAAAATCGTTGAACATTAAATTAAATTTTTTGAACTTTTTTCCACAAATAATGTGTATTGGTTTTATGCAGAAAACATATTTTATCGATCTTCTATGATTTTGGTCAATTTTGTAGTGTCCGTTGTGTTCATTTCAGAAAAAGTTAGCATTTTGATAAGCTTCCAAATGAACATTGAAAAATCTTAAAAATGCACTTTTAAACAGTGTTTTTCATTTTTTAACAAAATTTGTAAATTTTTGCGCTATATATTTTTTTTTTTTTCATAGGCATTCAAGTTTCTTACAATTTTGACAATTATGACTAAATGAGCCGTTTTCGTACTATGATTTATTGAAAATATCGAATTCGCGGATTTGAAAAATTAGGCGAAAATCAAAATGGCCGAATTCCAGCACAAACTTGGTTCCCTAGTGAACAATTATGGGAAGTTTCATGGAATTCGAAGAGCGAAAGTCGATTCGTGGAACTGCTCATCTGAAAAATTACTGTACTGGAGAGTCGACCAGGTTCCATTTCGATTACCTACCCACATTTCATGCGCTATTCTCATTGGCAGATACGAAGGCGAATTCATGCAGGGCTGGTTCCATGGTCACGGGGTTTTCTGGCGATCCGACGGCATGAAGTACGAAGGTGAATTCCGTGGTGGACGTATTTGGGGCCTCGGTTTGATCACGTTCAGTGATCAAAGTCACGGATTTCCACGGAACGAAGGATTTTTCCAGGACTGCCGGCTGGTGCGTAAGAAGCGATGTCCAGAGGTGATTCAACGCGCCCAAAAAGTGGCTCTGATGGCCAGAGCGCAGTGCGATCAAGGGAACTGAAAGCCGGAATTTCAACTCAATTTCAAAAACATGCCATACGGTTTGGCGTACATACGTCAGTGTACCAATCGGATGAAGCAACGACAATGCTTTAATTAATTTTAGTTACGATTTTTATTTGCGTCTGTATTACATAATAAAGTGGTATCTTTACAATGAGCTTACATTTTATTGTCTCTAAAACCTACGAAATGCAATCAACTTAAGGTTTATTCACCGGAAGTGCTAGTCTCACCACTCCCGACCACAAACCACTGGAGTCGCGCAGCGACAGCAGCATTCCTTACCAAACGCTTATGGTCATCCAATGCTGGTTGTAACTCCAGTACAACATCTTGCTTGAACGGCAGCAGTAGAAACGGAGGATATTTGGTTGTCTGCAGAAGGCACTCCAGTGCATCTATTCGTACTTTCTGTTCAACGAAGGAAGAGTGGCATTATTCAACAGAACTTTAAATAAAGACTGTTTCACTTACCATTGATGACTTGTAGACTGTGAGTTTCAGTAGCTGAGGAATCAGGAACTGCAAGTGATCTTGGAAGAATGAATCTTGTTCTTTTATGAACCGCAATGTAATCTCCAATGTCATTTCCAAAGCTTTATCGTTTGTCAGTAGTAAGCATTTGAGCAGTATCGGACCGACCTACAAACAGATAATTCTAAATGTTCATACGTTTTGTCCTCGATTGTTATGTTATAAAAAGGAGGGATAGGGCAAATTACAGCTTTGTTTTGGCAATACCTTTAAACGGATAAACGAACTCATTGAGCGGACATTTTCTGCATAAGCATACATCATTTTTGAAAGCATTGATTGACCAAAATTGAGCACTCAAGTACTGCATAATATCCCCTTGAGATAATAGGTCCAATAAGGATTTGTGGAGGCCTCCCTTAACTCAGTCCGTAAAGGCACAGCTACAATGCAAGACCATGCTGGAGATCGCTGGGTTCGGTTCCCGGTCCAGTCTAGGAATTTTTTGGGTTGTAAAATTTCTCGACTTCCCTGGTATGATTGTCTTGAAAAATGGTACAGGCATCGAAAGTCGAGAGCACACAATAAGCTAATATGCGATAAGCAATAAGCTTGAAATGCGATGAAGAAGAAGAAAGACTGATTTGTGTTGTTGAGTACAATGAGTGTGTCGAGATTTCCAGGGCAATGGTATTACAAACTGTGCTGTAGCGGATTGAAAAGTTCAAAATTTGCGAAAAATGTCAATGTCCCTTTTTCTTAATGAAGCATACATAATAATCTCGTCGCCCTACGTCGTATCTCGGATCCAAACCCTAACTTTTTTTATGTAATTATGATTCTTTAAAAGACGTTTTTAAAACTAGGAACATCGTCAATATTAAACCAATGCTTTTCCGCAAGAAGACACCTACCTTTTTAATGTTCATTTTCAGCACCAGGTGGGGTGTGGGCTTAAATACATATACCAGGGCCTTCAGATGCGTCTCTGCGTACTGTTCTGCTGTCTGTTCCAGTTTCTTCATAACGAAAACGAACAACTTCTGCTTGAACAAATTCTTCATCAGAGGTAGATGCAACTGTGGGAATTCCGCCGACAGCACCTCGAACGCAAGTGCAGCAGCATGACCCAAGGTGGGATGGTCAAGCAGGTCTGCAATGTCTTCCACTATTTCCCCAGCTTCCGGGTGGCCCCGGGCTAATAAACCTTTTCCAATCCATGATAGGATGCTGACAACTTGTTTGTTATGACTTTTCAACTCCTTTCGAAGCATTTTCAGCAATTTGATCAAAACGTTTCGATGGTGCTCATCATCTGGCATGCGGTTAAAAAGACTACACAACAACTGCTGGCTTAGTAATTTGACATGCCCGTCTTCGTTGGCCATCGCTAGCTTGGTCAAATCATCTACTAGATTCTCGAAATGGTCCTCAATCGATACCGTTTCATCCAGATACCCGAGAATGCCAGATGTTAGATAAAGGTCATTGGTCTTGGCCAGATTCATCAATGGCAGCTGTTCGTTCACAATTAGTTTCTGCCTTTCAGGGGGCAGTTGCTTCATCATATCTTTCATGGCATTCGATAGAGCGTAAAGCAAATCAGATGAATGTGTTGATCCTTCTTTATGCGCCAAAGTTACACATTTCTCGATGAATTTATATTGGTCACACAGTTCCTCAGCAATCGGTTTTCCTTCTGGACTTTCGAGAACCATTTCCAGTGTGTTTAGCGCTAAAATCGCAATCCCCTCATGATCAGATTCGTCGAAAGCAAGATCCAAAAAGAATTTTAATATTTTTCCTTTCACACACTCTAGTGGTATCAACTTGGCCAATGCGTGGAAAACTCGCTCTGTGGATGACGAAACCGTTTCGTACTTTTTGGCAACTAGTTTGTCTACAATAACGTTCCCCACCTCAACTCCATAGTGTACGGCAAACTGATACAGGCAATCCTCAACGTTCAAGCGCTCATCACTCGAAGATAACAGCACATGGATAATGGTAGTGTAGACGACAAAGCGGTTCTCATCCACTACCGCTTCTGGAATCCTCGTTATACAGGATAACGCAATTTTCTTCAGTTCACTTGCATCGCTTTCCTGCACTAAAATCTGAACAAACTGCTTCTGAACCGCTCCAACCAATTCTTGATCCATCTGCTTCATGATGTTCTTCGCTTTGCAAATAAGCAGAGTTCGACTTAAGACATCTATCAACGAAATTTTCTCTTGTTCCGTTATCGTATCTCCATTCAACTGCGACAAAGTCATTGGCAGCAGTTTATTCGCAACGAAATGAGCTGACTCAGTGGTAGCAGCGGCGCAAACTAATGCCACTTGGATGCCACTTTCAAACAGTTTCGACGCAACGTCAGCTATGCTTCCCATTACGGTCATGAAAATTGTAGTCAAAAAGTGCTCTCCGACTTTAGGTTCCGTTTGGGTGAACGCTACAAGTTGTTTCGTCGTCTCCAATGCCAGCTCGAATATTTCTTTGTTACCACCACCAGGCATAAGCTCTAACTTTAGTGCTTTCCACACATCCTCTAGATGTTGGTTCATATCCGACAGGGCAAATGCTTGGGTGCAATTAATCTGAAAAAGGCAAAAAACAAAAAACAATCCTGAATGTTATATCTCAGTTACAGCTTGTCTGCCACATACCAACAAGCGTAGCGAATCCAGCTTGGCCACAACAAGCTCACTATCCAGTTTTTCCAGCAACAATGGGACGCAATGTTCGGCAAAGTCTTTGGAACCACATAGACATGCTTTCAATTGTTCTGCCAGCATGTCTCTTGTGATAGGTTCCGGATCGTTTTGATTAGGATAGAAATCAATCGGAAAGTAACACGCAAAAACTTCAAACATTTCCTCTTCCAGGTGGAACAAAGGATAATTTTGCAAAAACTGAGGCATATACTGGAACAAAAATATTAAATTGCGAGGATCCCGTTCACCATCGATGGCACCAATGACCCCGTAGACAAAGTCAGCTCCCATGGCCTTCAGCTCAGCCTGGTTATTCTCTGCCAGTGTGCTAATAAAGCGGAAGTATTTGGCGCGCTCGTCCTTCGCTTGGCTCTGGCAAGGAATATTCAAGAACAGCGCACTGGATAGCTTACTAGCCGAACCTTGGGGAAAATTTTTCATTGATGCCAACGTCAAGATTCCTTCCAGTATGGCTGGAATCACAGAATGGTGATCCTTCATACGATCACAGTAGAATGTCGTTAAAAATTCCAACTGATGCTCGTTCAACAAATCTGACGGAAGATCTTTCAAAATCGTTGAAAGTAGCATGGTTGCCTTCATTCGAATGCTATGATCCTCGTGAGTCAACGCAGGTCCCAGTTCTTCAATAAACTCGGAGATGTCCAACCTTTTGTTGGAGATATCTGAAAGTATTGGAAGTCTTAACGCTGTACCAAGTGCTTTGGCCGTGAAGTCTTAACAATTAGGTACCTTCACAAAGTTTATCACATGTGTGGTGAAGTTTTGAGTCACTCTTCAGCACATCGATCAGCGTCGAATGTGACCACGGGAATTTCATTGTTCACTGGGTAAATATAATTATGGATATTCAGAGACGGCTTTATCAATTCACTATTATAAATCACTTTGTACAAACGGTCAAGCACGAGGACAAAGTTGCAATAGTACGACGAACGATGCAAAAAGTAAATAACCTTCGTCAAACGCGACGATTTATAACACAAACCAGAACAAAGGAAAACAACAAACACAAAAGCTGTCATAATGCACACTGACAGCAGGGACATGTTGTAAAGAAAAATTATATACGTGGGAACACAGTGAAAATAAAAACATCGTTTCACCCATACACTGAACCAAATCATCATCCTGGGATCGAATGATTATTGTCTCGATCTAGCCCACCCTCAAATATCAAATGTTTTGCGCATTGTACCTCGCATTGTGCACCAAAGTAGACTTCAGACATTAAAAATTTCGCACATATACTAGAAACATAAATAAAAATAAATAATGTTCAACGTTCTTTCTCCAGTGGGATGTCGATTTGATGGAGTATCTCCCCGCTCATCCGACAAAATTATAACCGGGCAATCAGGGTTTAACTTCCCTACACGGATAGAAATCTCCTTATACCTTTTGGCAAATTTCTATTGCTGATTATTCATAAAATGTATAAGTCAACTAATAAGCAGACGCCTTGCAAAAAGTTAATGAAGATCATGCGTCAAATGAAATGTATAAGCGGTCACACATACCTTTTATGCATTCTTATAGGACCTATGTGGTTTGTCTTATGGGCTGATGTTTTGGCAAAAATGTATAAGTGAAACACATGGATAAAATAATTGATTTTCGTTTCGTGTAATAAAAATAATCCATAAACGAACGATAACCTAAATGATAGATCTATTCCACAACTGGTTTGGGTGATACACCGAACACGTCGTTAAGCAAAACCATAAAACCACAGACAAACAGACATAGCAAATTATTTATTTTACACTATAAAACATCGCCGCAAAAACACTACCGCCATCTGTTGAGTATACTGTGATGGGCAGTACGCTGAACGGATGGCGGTAGCATAGATGTAACTCTAAAGGTCGGGGCACAATGCATATGTTTTCGGGTTTTTCGACAGATAATGCATGGGCTAACTGTCAAAAAACCTGAAAACGTATCTATTGTGCGCCGGCCTTAAGACTAGAGGACCCTCGATGAAACGTGCTCAACTTTTTGGCTCAGCTCTGGTACTATCTTCGGTCCCAAGCTAATCGATGCACCCCTCGAAACATAGGAAAATCCACGAACCCCACGTTTTATCTGTCAAACTTTCATAGCGAATCAAAACAAACATAGTGTAGTACTAGAATGTTGACTAGAATGGGGTATGTTAATGGATTTGCTTGGGACCAATAGCAAAAACGAAGTGACAGACGACTAACTAGCGAAGAAATCCATTTAAATAATGTGGTTCACTCTAATAGAATTTTTTTGGAAGCTTGTGCCATCATCCACCAGATGGGTTAGTTTTTTTGTTTTGATTTGAACAAAGTTGATTCTGTGTACAATGATTCTTTGACAGTGTGCAAAGAGTGTATCATTTTGTTATTTTTTTATGCATTTCAGTTTTGAGTAGAGTGAAAGAGATAGAACCAAAACATTCTAATACATTTGGTGATAATGCTAGTACACCGGCAAGGGAAGTAACACGGATACGAATTTTGTTAATTTAAATCAAAAATATGAATGTTTATACCACAAACGAAGTGACAGACGGAGCGGCTCGAAAACTTTGGTGACTAACCTGCTATTTCAATTTTTCAGTGTACCACATGGCAACACCACTACTACTGGACTGTACCACATGGCAACACTACTACTGGATTGAACTAGCATTTTCATCAATTGAACTAGAATGTTTTGGTTCTATCTCTTTCACTCTACTCAAAACTGAAATGCAAAAAAAAATGACAAAATGATACACTCTTTGCACACTGTCAAAGAATCATTATACACAAAATCAACTTTGTTCAAATCAAAACAAAAAAACTAACCCATCTGGTGGATGATGGCACAAGCTTCCAAGAAAATTCTATTACAGTGAACCACATTATTTAAATGGATTTCTTCGCCAGTTAGTCGTCTGTCACTTCGTTTGTGTTTATACTCTAAACATATGAATTATTCAAAGTATATTAAAGGATGTTTAAAATTAAAATACTTATGTTTGAATTAAATTCAAAAGCATGTTTATTTCAACAATATCGAAATTTGACTGAAGTGTTTGTGTTTGACTGACAACGATCGGTTTCTGTACGTTGCGAATAAGAATGGAATCATTGGCCGGCGCCGGTGGTGTTATGGTAAGCGTGACTGCTTTCTAATACCCCAATGGGTCTGGGTTCAATCCCAGCCGAGGTCGGTGGGATTTTCTGAGGCATAAAAATCTCTGGTCACGTCTTCCTTCGGAAGGGAAGTAAAGCCGTTGGTCCCGGCCCATGTGTGTTGTGAATGGGTGCGATATCCAACGCAGGTGTGGAAGCTGCCTTCCTGCACATTCGATTGCCGTCAATGGATGGCAATCGATGTCCGTCGGTGATTGGCACTAGATTGCGGAACAGAGACCGACGTTAAATAAAGGAAAGAAGAAGAAGAATGGAATCATTGGTGGTGATAAAGGCGCAGAAGATCAAGCAGAAAACGGTAGTTCTTTCGCTGGTCATTTTGCAGGATCTGGTAGTGGTCCATGAGATCAAGAACTGGACGAAGCGACACTGGAGCTGGTGAACATTCGTTGTTACCGGGGGTTTTCCGGAAGATTACCCATCATTCGTGGTGAAGGACTGGTCTCTGGATGAAGGGCTGATCCCTGCATATACGGATGTGATTACATCCGGATCATGTGACGGCGATGATGCAAATAAAAGCGCACGATTGGTGATTTGCACTAATCGCGCACTTTTATTTATTTCATCGCACATTCGAAAATAATTTATAATATTAAATAGAAAATCGTGCTATACATTAAATACGTTTAAAAAAAACTTCAAAATCATGTTTAAAATAAAAATGTTTATTTTTGATTCCAAACCTATCAAAGCAAAAAATATTCACGTTTATTTTCAACACGAATATTTTTAAAATAAACGTAGCAATACTTAAATTGATGTCACATTACTTTAAACATAAGTTACATTTGAAATAAATCTAATTTATTTTTGTGGCCAGAGCAAACTGAGTTTACGTTTATATTTACCTGAAATATTGCCTTCCTGCACATCTAAATAGCTGCCTTCCTGCACATTCGATTGCCGCCGTCCGAGATGTTTTTAAGACAGGTGGGCAGGAACTCACGGTCTCCCAGTGTTGGTGAGTTCTTTGCCGTTAATGTTCACGAAAAGTTCACTATTTTGCCATACAGAAATTCAAAACAAAAATTTTTATCTGCGGATTTCGACTGTTTTTGACCTGTTTCGTACGACCGAAAGGTGTATGCTGGTCACGAATGCTGTGCTAAACTGATTTCCTACGCAATTAATCAATCTTTGATGTGAATTACACTAATAAACACGAGGAGCATTTCTTATAGCAAACTTGCCATAACAAAATGGGCATGGTTCATTTAAGTAAACAAACTAACACTTCTTCCGACTGTGGCACCTCTCTTACTAGCCTGGGCCGCCGTCGCCGCCGTCTGAAGTGCCGATTTTTGATCCTTAAAATTTGTCTTTGATCGGCTGTAAAAAATTGAAATTAAATGATAGACGAAATCCGAACGATCGTGGACTGCACAAAATAGTACTGAACAGAAATCAAAACGAATCGGACGAATCGAATGTATACATTTCGAGAAATTTTTGGCACCGGTTTTGAAAATATGATTCCGAGATAATCGCGTTTAAAGTTTCAAGTTGGGTTTAGTCCGAGGGGGACGACTCTATCTACGATGCAGGAAATATTGTGTTTTGCTGTGGCTAACTGCGCGTACGCTGAGTAGATAGAAAGAAGATTTATCACGATTTTGAAGATTTCCTGCAAAAAGATGTTGTGCGATGCAAGTAAATGCGAGAAATGAAAGAAGATTTTTCGAAGATTTATTCGGTAGTGTGAGATTTGTTGAGCATCTAGAATTGAGATTTAGATGTGTCGCCCCCCTCGGTTTAGTCCACTATAAGCGAATATTTTTGTACGTCGCATAACTTTCACAATTTTCATCGGATCAACTTGATCTTTTGAGGAAATATTCTTGACTTTATATACTTTCGATTAGGACAATAACAAAAATCGATTTTTTGAAAGTTTGCAGGTAGGCGTAACCCCTTAACGGTATCGAGGATTATCGAGGCGTCGGATGAGCGGAGCGATACTGTATTCTGTTGTAAAATATAGCACTATGGGGTGATGTACATATTATGTCACGCTCTAAGGGCCCATGCATTAATTACGTCACGCTAAATCGAGCAAAAATTTACCCCTCCCCCCCTATCGTGACGTTTTTCCTATACCTAATGCATTGCTTGTCACAACATCTTAGACCCCCCCTCCCTCCTTAGAGCGTGACATAATATATATATCAACCCTAAGGGAGGAAGGGGAGTTTATGGTTTTGTTACAAGCAATGCATTAGGTATAGGAAAAACGTCACGAAAGGGGGGAGGGGAGTTAATTTTTCCTCAATTTAGCGTGACATAATAAATAGATCGCCCCTATGTTACAATCAAAATGGTGAATTTTAATTATTGATGGACTGAGCGAAAACAAATCTGGGGAGTCTACTTTGGAGCAAAATGCACAATTAATTGGGTATTGTTACGAACGCGACGAAAGTGCTAAACAATATCAAATTTAAGAGTATTCTTACGAATCGTCCATCATCACTTGAAATAACAATAAAAACAAAAGCAGTAACGTTTCGATCAGATTATAACCAACAATACCACAGGAAGACGGTAATAACCGCAAAATAATACAAATCTAACTAAACTAGGTACCCTAAGGAATGTATACCTGGTAAGGTGTTTCGCTGTGAGATCCTTACTCTCGTAACCACTTCGAAACTTTAAGAGCACAAATATCAGCTTCTACTATACGTACCACAATGAAACTGTTACTCCACGTTTGCTGTACTGCAGCATACATGAAATAGCAATTTCAGGTGAAATAGGGGCATTAATTTCCGAGATGTGTGTAATTGATCAATTTAGATGGTCAAGTTTTGAACCCACCACAGCATGCTTTTGGTGCTACTGTATATGGACGATCAAATGTAAAATACTGTGGTAGCCACAGCATAGTTCAGTCAAAAACTCATCATTTTCATTGATCTACTCATTCACAAAAATAGCGTCAGGTGCTTGGTCAGGTCTAGATACAGATGCATCATAACCTTAAGACCAGAAAACACGCCGAGATAAGGAGAGAGCCATGCGTAACACTAATAGAATACCAATAAATTAATTCCAAGCTTGAGTATAGTATAGATATAGATCAATGGTATCCGGTTAGGGAGAACGCAACCTGAAAGGCCTACCATGAAAATAGAGAAACACGCGTGGGAGAGTGAAAGTAATAACATTTTGAGGCACATAGAATCAACAAAGGCGCGTTTGGACAGGATCCAAGAAAAATCTGAGCATTAGAAAAACAGGTGTCCGAGCCGGGCGTACGATTGTGGGAAAAAAGTAATAAAATTCTCTGAGGAAACTAAAAATAAGAGAAGTAAGCGCTCGAACCCGAAGCGTCAAAACAGGACTCGAATATGTACAGTCGAAATTCGCTGGTTGGGCCACCACCTCGGCCCAACTAGTTTGATTCGCTAGTTGGGCCAACTGACAGAAGGCTAAAATTTGTTGAGGGGTGTGCGCATCCTTTGTTGAACAGATTTCACAAAAAGCGGATTGAAGCAAGTTGCTTGAAGCAGAGTGGAAAAAGCAAATCATTAAGTACACAATTTTTGTTTTTGTTTTCTTCTAGAATTTTAAATGAAACTCAAATGTTTCGAGCAAATACCAAACGTTAACATTCATTACATATGATTCGCAGTCCTAACCGCATATGCTTACCCCCTGGAAGAATTTATGATCGATTATCAAATCCAATTTGACATGAGATTTTGACTTCCAGTTGCTTTTTAATTGGGTCATGGCCCAACCAACGGAGGCACAACTAAAAAGCAGCCCAAGTATTAAAAGCCCAACCAGCGAATTTGGACTGTAATGAGCTCATAGGCTGTCCATAAGGGCCCATGCATTAATAATGTCACCCTAAATAGAGCAAAACATTATCCCCTCCCCCCATATCGTGACGTTTTTCCTATACCTAATGCATTGCTTGACCCCCCTTTCCCCTTAGAGCGTGACATAATATATGCATCAACCCTAAACTACGTAGCCAATTTGGGGGAGGGGGGGGTACGTTGGCAATTATCCACGGCCATACAAAAAAAAAATTAGCTATGCATAAACAATATGTATTTTTTAAATACTTTTTCGATTAGCTTACCTAAATTAACTTTAGTGTCTTTAATGTCTACTTCATCACTTCTTCTTGTGGCGCTTGTTAGAGCTGAATAATCACTTCGAACTGATTTTCATTTTATTTTCTAATACAATTAGCTAATAGCGAAGACCTCGGCGAAGACTGGCAACTCTACCATTTTCTCATACGAACGCTATGAGATCGCGTCATCTGCCGCGAAAAGGTAAATGCTTCGAACGAATTGGATAGCAAAGATTACAACCTCAGAAGAATGGTTTGTGTATTTGCTCATTTCTCTATGCGTTACTTCCACCTTTGCTGATATGTTGTCTTCGCTAATAGGTCGTAATTACACGGATAAAAATCTCCTTATACCTTTTGGCAAATTTCTATTGCTGATTATTCATAAAATGTATAAGTCAACTAATGAGCAAACGCCTTGCAAAAAGTTAATGAAGATCATGTGTCAAATGAAATGTATAAGCGGTCACACATACCTTTGATGCATTCTTATAGGACCTATGTGGTTTGTCTTATGTAATGTATAAGCACAGACAAACAGACATAACACTCGCAAGTTTTCATCAAACAAGCATTTAACGGTAAATTTAAAAGTATCGTAGTTGGTAGTACCGCCACCTGCGGCACGCATAGTCAATTCCCTTGCGTTTGACGTTTACACACTACCGCCATCTGTACTGCGTACTACCCACCATAGTGTACTCAAAAGATGGCGGTAATGTTTTAGCGACGATGTTTTACAGTGAGAAATATTCAATGTGTTATGTCTGTTTGTCTGTGGTATAAGGCTGATGTTTTGGCAAAAATGTATAAATGAAACACATGAATAAAATAATTGATTTTCGTTTCGTGTAGCTTTGTTTCTGGCTAATATCCTCACTATGTGTTCAACCCACAGATTGAGGCATGAAATTATTCCATGAAATTAAATTGATTTGTTCTTCGATGCATAAAACATGCATGCATTTTGTCAAATTTAACATTTAACGATTTTAAAATTGGCTCAATTTAATCGATTATTAGGGGAACTAGGGCCATTATTGACACCCGGGGCAGATTTTTCAAAATATCAACATTTTTTTTTTTCAATTTAGATGCAACAGATATTTCATTCCTCCTATGAATGAGTAATTTAACGAGTGAACTAATTTCAATAATGTTCTCAATCACCGTAAATCCTGGAAAAAAACATGGGCTTGCTGTGTGCTTTTTTCACTTTAAATGATCTATATTTCTTGAATTTGTGTGGTTTACATGCATAACTTATCAAGTGACACAGATGCGTCTTTTCAACTTTAATTCCTTTGAAATTTCAATTATTATTAATTACAGTTCCTAGTCCTATCAGGCCTGTTTTAAGAATGACCACCTTGTTGGAATTGGTTTGTTTTATGCTTGCTGTGTGCTGAAAGTTATAATTCTCACGTATCACCAAATAAGATGCAGCGAGCAGATGATGGTAATTAGACTGCAATTATCGTTTGTTGTGGAATATTCAATTGTTTGTATTGTTCCCACATAATATAATTTTCGGTAGGTGCATTAAAATAATAAAAACTAACGATAAAATATCTTCTCCCGTTGGGGTAGACTTTAAGGTGTCCATACTGCCGCGTAGAGATGTCCACTTTGCCCCGCTAGCTTTACGATGCCAATGTAATGTAATAAATTTTCAAATTGTTTTTTAAGAAGAAATAAGTTTTTTTTTATTTGCCACAATGAACTGTTTAAAGACAAAAGTTTGTAGTAAATAACACATAGCGATATTTTGATTCCTATCAAGTCAAACTTGGCAAAATCCTTAGGGTGTCCATAATGCCCCTAGTTTCCCTACGTTACATCAATATACCAGGATAAATCATTGATTTTCAATCTGGTCGGTAGTAACCAAATTAAACTGGTCAACAACATATTTAATACAACTAATAAGTTCGACAAAACATTCCTTAGAATGCTCTTAAAATGCATACATTTTAGTTATACTAAACATAAAATATACACAGCGAAGTGCCTGTCAAAATAACTTAAAGAAGTATAAATTTGACGAAAAAGTATGCATAGCAAATGTAAACTCTATTTACACAAGCCAAACCAGTTCTATTCTATTATTTTATACATAGAGTGAATTAAACCGGTGAGACAGGATTTTGCATAGAAATATGTCTAAATTTACATTTTCTGTCTTTTTGAGTTTGGTGAACATAGCGACGGAGCCTCAACAAAAAGGAATCAAGAAAGTAGTTTTCTTCTAGTTTTCGGCTTATATTTGTATTGAACTTTTAAGTGCTCCTCTTTTGTATGTTTTGCATAAAAACGATTTGTAATAAGTACCAAATCTCTGTATAGAATTGATATATTACAAAGACTATTATGGAGTAATTGTTTATCGATTGTATTAAATGAATTGTATTCAATTAAATCAAGAAAGTCGACAGAAACCTAACCTGGGCCGAGGTCAAAGCAAAAGCAACCAGCCGCTCACAATGGAAGTCTTTCGCGTTGGCCTGGAGGTGCGCAGATTACTTGGCTGTGTCTCTGATCATATTGCCATTTAAAAAAATCCATTCAGAAATTCTGTATTGTGATATTACGTTAATGCATGCTTTTAATTTAAAGACAAGTAGCTTGTTCACAGTTAGTTTTGCATTTTTATTATTCATTTAATTTTAGAACATAAATCAAATTAAGTGGATCTCAAAACATAGTAACAATATAACTGTTTCGAACTCGGTACCAGATACGAAACTAAAATGATTTGTTTTTCTTAACATTTACTTCTATCTGATGTAATATAGCATATTCTCAAGCATTTATCACTTATTAGTTATTTTCAGTCTAACAATCCGGCTCATCCGCACGTCTATTTATAATAGCATCACTTTGACCATCATTTTCGCGCCTTCGAATAACAGCATTGTGGATACGGTCATATATTTGCAGAATAAGTATGTTATTGTACAAGCACATTCCAAACAGCAAACCACCAAATCCAAATATTTGCAAGTAATGGAACTTTTGCCAGGCTAGCATCAACGAAACCATCCAAATAACCAGAGTTCTTACGGAGTCCAATACCATGCGAGTGGTAGCGGATATTTCCTTCGTCACACTTATGCCTGCAAAGTTGAAAAATGCTATTGACACGACCGTTCCCATGATCGCTAGGATAAGCTGGTAATTGTTCTTCATTTGCACTAGTGCATCTAGTACATCTTCCAATACTCCACGGGCGTTGTTGTTGAAAGGAGGGCCCACATAGATGTAGTACATGGGAACAAGTAGAGTTCCAAGCACACTGAAACCGAAGAATCCTGAAATTTTAAAGATTTAACTATGTTCTACGACAAGTGAGTTCAAGCATATGCCGTACCTTCCCACCCAACGGCTTGCAGTGCCGGGATGTCAAGTCCAGCCACATAACGTTCCTCGTATACCATTTGTACTGCGGTGATAATCTGGGCCAAGATAATCAGCAAATCACCGGTGATTACATTATTCCGGGTATACGAAGAACCAGCTCCGTCATTTGATACGAAGTCAGATAGACCTACTACACCAAGTCCAACAATGATAAACAGGATGCCAATCCATTCACGGCTCACTAGGGTGCGGTTTAGGAAAGCTACGCTGAGAATCCCGACGAAAATTATAACAGAGCCTGCATAAGTAGAAATAAAAAAATATTGGATAAATTAAACAACATAAATTAGAAGATAACCTCATTCCTCGCCGATAGCTTGAAGTAGCCGGACGTAGTTTGTTCGTGTCTCCGTTGCGGGTATTAGTTTCGTAGCCGGTGGAGTTTTTTTTCCCACCATAGTGGTTTTTTTATATCGCGCGTTTTACCTACCGTGGACGAAGTTCAGTGCCCAAGGCAACCGCAGTCAGCAGAGGAAGTAGCCACCTTTAGCGACGCTATAGGTGGACTATCATCTCACCGTCATCATCTCATCACCACTCCAAAGCAGCAAGCAACAACAACAAAGCAGCAAACGGAGTGGCTGCACCAGCTCACACAGCCGGCACCGGCCGGTGTTAAGTATTCTATACAATAGTCTTCTCTAGCCCATTGCCGCGCTTTTGTTATTGAATTTTGCGCGTGGCTTTGCCCTCTCCCCTGATAGGGTTGTGAGGGCTATAGTGGTGCAACTTCTTGCAACTAATAAAAAGTTCTTTTTTTTTTTTTTTTTTTTTGATAATTTTGTTATTGTTTTGTTTGGTTGTTCATACACTGGGCAACAAAATATTAACAACTAGTAGTTAAGTAGATTAATTGGTTAAGGTTTTTTGAAGTATTTTTTTTTTCCTTTTTAAGCGGTTGTGCACCGCGTTTGCGCAACACTTATGGCGTCTTCAGATACCTTTGTTGCGCGAACTAGATACTATCAACCGTCTTCGAAAGGACCATGGGTTGTCTTTTTTCGGCCTAAAAATAAACCTTTGAAAACTCTCGACATATCGAGAGACTTGCTGCGTAAGTATCCGGGAATCTTGGTACATAAAGAGAGATTCAATAAACTGCGTGTAGAAGCACCGACTTATGATGTGGCAAATAAAATTGCTGAACATGAGCTGTTTAGTGTTGAGTACAACATCTACATCCCTTCTCGAGATGTGGAGATAGAAGGTGTGGTCTCCGACGCGAGTCTGAGTGTCGAGGATTTAAAACGAGCATCGGGTTGCTTCAAAAACTCGAAAATCGGTCAGCAGGTACAGATACTGGATGTCAGGCAACTGCATTCAGTATCTTTGCAAGATGGCAAGAAAGTTTATCAGCATTCAGACTCGTTTCGGGTGACTTTCGCTGGTTCAGTTCTCCCAAACTTTGTCAAAGTTGATGGTGCTTTTTTTCCGGTGCGGTTGTTTGTACAGAGGGTCTATAATTGTACCAACTGCAAAAGGCTGGGACACTCAGCCAGCCATTGCGGCAACAAAACTCGTTGTGGCAAATGTGGTGAAAACCACAAAGAGGATTCTTGCCACAAAGAATCAGTAAAATGCGCTTATTGTGGCGAGAATCCTCACCCCTTGCAGGAGTGCCCGATGTACAAACAGCACTCCGATAAAGTGCAGCGTTCAATCTCTGGACGCTCCAAGCAGTCATATGCACAAATGGTGAAGGCTGCATCAGCCGTCCAAGATGAAAATCAATTTTCGATTTTGTCAGCTGAAGAATCGGACTCTGACTCATCCGATGAGGGTGACTCTACGGTGGTACACGCACCTTTGAAAACGAACGGATCCTCAAAACGAAAATGCTCCTCCCCGAAAGTGCGCCGTAAGAAAACTAAAGTCACTCCCAGAGGATTGCAAAATTCCCAGGGTAATGGGGATGAAAAAATTAAATCGAAGGCTCCTACTGCTCCACTTCCTGGCTGCAGTAAAGATTTTCCGCCATTACCCAACAAAGAAAAGAAAAACAAAAAAGCTGCTCCTCAAACTTCTCAAAAGAAATCCAAGTCCGAACGCGGTTTGCTAGCTTTTTCGGACATTGTGGAATTCATATTAAATATGTTCAACATACAAGACCCTCTTAGAAGCTTAGTTTCTGCCTTGCTTCCAACATTAGAATCATATCTTAAGCAATTGACTGTTTCATGGCCCCTCCTTGCATCAATCATATCTTTCGATGGATAATTCATCGAACGAGGTTGAAGATATGATCACTGTGCTACAGTGGAACTGCCGTAGTCTAGTGCCTAAACTAGACTCGTTCAAATTTTTACTTCACAATTCTGATTGTGATATATTTGCTCTCTGTGAAACATGGCTTTCTTCCGATAAAGAACTCAACTTCCACGATTTTAACATTATTCGCCTGGATAGAGACGATTCTTATGGAGGAGTACTTTTAGGGATCAAAAAGTGCTACCCTTTCTACAAAATTTCCCTTCCTGCTCTATCAGGCGTCGAAATCGTCGCTTGCCAAATAAATGTGAAGAACAAAGATCTTTGCATAGCTTCAGTATACGTTCCACCAAGAACCTCCATTAGCCGTAGTCAACTCTGGAATCTAGTTTCGATTCTTCCATCCCCAGTATTAATTCTGGGTGATATGAACTCCCATGGTACTGGGTGGGGCGATCTATATGACGACAATAGAGCGGCTATTTTTTACGATTTATGTGACGATTTCAATTTGACTATTTTGAATACTGGTGAAGCGACACGTATAGCAAAACCTCCGGCTCGAGAAAGCCGACTCGACCTATCTTTGTGTTCAAGATCGCTATCATTGGATTGTCAGTGGAAGGTTATCAATGATCCCCATGGTAGCGATCATTTGCCAATCATCATTTCAATTAAGTGTGCCCCTCACTCTGCAGAACCATCTCGTGTTCCATTTGATCTTACAAGGAACATAGATTGGCAGAAATATGCAACGGCGGTGACAATCGGTGTCGAATCAATAGATGCGCTTCCACCATTGGAAGAATATCGATTCCTAGCCGATTTGATTTACAAAAGCTCACTGGAAGCACAAAAAAGAAAAGTTCCAAGTGCACCCTTTAAAAGGAGACCAGCCACACCTGGTTGGGACGAAGAATGCACAAAATTGTATGTAGAAAAATCTGATGCTTTCAAAGCTTTTCGCAGACACAAAACCTCCACATACTTCGAGGAATATTCAAAGCTTGAGACAAAGCTGAAACAATTAATCAAAGCAAAAAAACGCGGTTATTGGCGCAATTTCGTCGAGGGACTCTCACGAGAAACCTCAATGAACACCTTGTGGAGGGTGGCTCGCAACATGCGTAACCGCTCATCTTTCAATGAGAGTGAAGAATACTCCAACCGATGGATATTCGATTTCGCTAAAAAGGTCTGTCCGGACTCAGTTCCAGCACAAAATATTCTTCGAGAAGCGTCTCCTAGCGGCGGCTCTCTGGATAGACCATTCTCAATGCTGGATTTCTCTATGGCTCTTCTTTCATCGAACAACTCCTCACCGGGAAGCGATATGATTAAATTCAATCTTCTGAAAAATCTCCCAGATATCGCTAAAAGACGCTTGCTAGATTTATTCAATTCCTTGCTAGAAAACAACATTGTACCGCCTGAATGGAGACAGGTCAAAGTAATAGCCATTAAAAAACCTGGCAAATCAGCGTCTGACCATAACTCATACCGTCCGATTGCTATGCTTTCGTGCATTAGGAAATTGTTGGAGAAAATGATCCTTCGGAGACTCGATCACTGGGTCGAATCAAATAACTTGCTATCAAATACACAGTTTGGGTTCCGCAAGAGCAAAGGAACAAACGATTGTCTAGCGCTGCTTTCCACAGATATTCAACTGGCCTTTGCACACAAGGAGCAATTGGCTTCAGTATTCTTGGACATTAAGGGGGCTTTTGATTCAGTTTCCATTGAAATTCTGTCAGACAATCTGCACAGATGTGGACTTTCTGGAATTTTAAATAATTTCTTGTACAATTTGTTGTCAGAAAAGCAAATGAACTTTTCCCTTGGACAACTGACAACTTCCAGAATTAGCTACATGGGCCTGCCCCAAGGCTCATGTCTCAGCCCTCTTCTTTATAACTTTTACGTCAAAGATATCGACAACTGTTTGGCAGAACAATGCACGCTAAGACAACTTGCAGATGACGGTGTGGTTTCCGTAAGAGGTCCACATGCCGTGGACTTGCAAGGACCATTGCAAAATTCCTTAGATAACTTGTCTTCTTGGGCTATGAATCTAGGGATCGAATTCTCGCCGCAGAAAACTGAACTGGTAGTGTTTACTCGAAAGCGGTACCCAGCCCAAATGCATCTTAATCTTTTGAGCAGAAACATTACTCAATCATTGTTTTTCAAGTACCTTGGGGTCTGGTTTGATTCAAAGTGCACTTGGAATACCCATATTACGTATTTGAAGCAAAAATGTCAGCAGAGGATCAACTTTCTCCGTTCAATTTGCGGCACATGGTGGGGTTCTCATCCGGGAGACCTCATAACGCTTTATAAAACAACTATTCTCTCTGTTCTAGAGTACGGCTCTTTCTGCTTTCTCTCGGCAAGGAAAAGTCACCTAATAAAATTGGAACGAATTCAATATCGTTGTCTGCGTATTGCTCTAGGCTGTATGCACTCAACGCATAACATGAGTCTCGAGGTTCTGGCAGGAGTAACACCCCTCCAGAACCGTTTCTGGGAGCTCTCTCTCAGAATACTAATCAAATGCGGAGTGACGAACACACTTATAATTGCTAATTTTGAAGAAATTCTTGGGCTGAACACACAATCTCGATTTATGAGAATCTACCACCACTACATATCATCAGATATGTGTCTTCCTTGTTATACTCCAGACCGTGTTCACTTCACCAATCGCAGTTCCTCAATTGAATATGATCTGACCATGAAACAAGCAACTCATGGGATTCCCGATCAACTTCGACCTATTATTATCCCACGTATTTTTACTGAAAAGTACCAACAAGTCAATTGCATGAAAAGATATTTTACAGACGGGTCCCGTCTCAATGGATCCACTGGCTTCGGTGTCTTCAATGAAAACTCTAGCGCCTTCCGCAAACTTCAGGAACCTTGTTCCGTTTTTGTTGCTGAGCTGGCAGCAATCAACTTCGCATTGGGGATGATTTCCAATATGCCCACAGACCATTACTTCATCTTCTCGGATAGTCTCAGTTC